TGTATTTGTTGTGTGTGTATAATCATATTTATCTGCATCTTGTTTAACATATAGAGATGCATACAACTTAAACTAGATACGAATGCAAATATAAGAATTTTGAGATATGCATTTGTATAATGGATTGATTGAGAACCGCAAAAAAAAGATCACATCAAACATTGATTGGCTTGAAAAATCCATCAATTATTGAGAAACAAAAATAGAACCGACAAAAATATTTTCACACGTGGCGTATATTAATCTATTTAAAGAAAATATGAATATCATTGTTAAATTTGTGACTAAAGAAAATAAATATGTTTAAAGTCGGTATCTATGGGTCAAGCATCCACACCCTAAAAAAAGGCATGATTGAAGAGACAAAAACGATAAAATTTTGTTTCGAAATTTCATAATCCAAGTTTTCAATATTGAATTGACCTTTGAATTGGATAGATCCAATGTCGCATTCAGTAAAGATTTATGATACATGTATCGGGAAATGTTATAGGTCGAAGGTAGGGAAGCTTGCAATTGGTCAACATTGAAGTTCGAAAAGTCATTCTGACTAGAAAAATAAACTTAAATATGAAATCCGTTTCGATGGCGTAGAACAAAAGACTTTTGTATATATAGTGGGTATTTAACAATTTATGATCATTGATTTTTCGTTCACCAAAATGTATTTATTTTATCTTTAAACAATTAATTTAGAAACAAGACGGACAAATAAAAATTCGTTAAGGTTTCCAATCTTTAAGCAAGCAATGATGAAACTTTGAGATTTCAATCTAAACTTAAACCATAATGTTAGCATAATCACTTAGGTTGTGTTACACTACTTAAGTCTTAGGGGATGTAGTGGAAAATCTCATCCACCCTAGTTTCGAATCCAAACGTTACCAAAGCCCTTGTAGTCATGGAGGTTCACCTGCGATGAGTCTGGACCATTTGTGATCACCCAAGGATTAGTCAATATGTATAAAGCTAACGTGGAAACCATGATTAGTGAATGGAAACGAATCAATATTGTTGTAGGAGAGTTTTTTTTTAATTTTTTGAATTAAAAAAGGAAGTGTTTTTAAATCTGAAAAAGTTGAATTGATGTGAAATAAAAGTTGTGATATTACATTTGTTTCAAGCATTTAACAAAAAAGCTGCTATGCTTACTCCGTTCATCCAAACTCGAATAAGATTTGCCGGTTGTAGCAAAACAAACGTAAATATAGCTTTGCATAAACGTCGGATTTACGTATGCAGGCATTTGGATTGATCCATCCAGCAGGCTTTTGGGTTTTGGAAAAAGTTCGTGATCCACACAAGTTCTTTCTTAAAAAACATTAAAACATGAACGTACCTTCGTTGAACCATATATTGCCTAAGTCTATAGCTGATGACGACAATGGTAAGACTGTGATGATGATGCCGATGGTGAGACTGCGATAACCGAGTGAAGCAATTTCAAGTGGGTGAGAAGGAAGACAATGACATGAGGGGGAATTTATTTATAAAAAGGTCAACATGTCATGTTTAAAACCTTTATCATCAAAAAGATGTGCTCATCATCTTCTACCACAAATTTAAAAGCTGGTTGACAAAAAAAAATGATCAATTTTATTATGTTAATTATTGTAATAAAATATTACTACTTTTATGACATTAAACTTTCTTTTTAAATGTAAATGGTTTTATGTCAACGAATTTTTTATACGAGTCATGTTCTACGTAATGGATTTTAATAATGGAACTTACATGACTTCGTTTCCATGATCCATTTGTTTAAATTAGTTGAAATCATAGGTGTCACTTCACAATTGATTAACTAACGGCTTAGATACAACCCATTTAGGGGTCATTTACCAAACGAGTCATGTTCTACGTGATGGATTTTACCAAAACCTGCAAAAGTCACCACCTTCAACGTAATATTCACGGCCATCAAAATGGATTGTTGGTAAGCGACTTTTACCTGGTAAGTGCTTACTAGATAAGAGTTTCTTCCATCAGTTACCGGATAAGATTCTCAGACCGTTCACCCGTTAAAATAAATGACACCCAGTAAGCATTTGGTGAACACCCCCTTAGTTGGATATCATATAATCAGCCGATCTGACCTAAATCCGACCCATTTCCAACTGATGGTTAAGTTGAGGTATTTACAGAAAAGAGAATGAAACACAGGTCTTAAAACATTCATGATTTGAAGTCTGTTACCAAGTTCAAACTAATAATATACAAACATAGAGAACGTTTTAGGATGCTATTGGTTTACCAAATAGCACACAAGGTTGGCTCAACCAGATTTGAACAGCAACACTGCTTTTGAATCCAAGTAGAAATAGACAAAGTGGTTTGTCTCATGAGTCACATAAGAACCTACACAATCAAACCCCAATTATTAGCTTTCATCTCAATCAATTTTTTGTCAAAAAAAACATTTATATACAAAGCAAATAAACTAGTGGAACAACTTATTCCTCTTCCTCTACCAAGCATTCTTCAAATAGTCATATTAAAATTGCAATAATTTCTATTTTCGGTCAAAACTGCAAGGTTTCCTTTTCACAAATATTTAGTTGCAGATGCCTATTCACCATTGTCTTCATGGCTACTTATTAAGAATCTATTGCACTTGGTCCATAAGATTATTCCATTTTTCACCGTTAAAAGCATTTTAGATATTTGATTAATAAACAAAGTATACTACTACTTCTACTAGTGGAGTCGAGTATATGATTTACAATGAGAAAGAGAGGATCAGAGGGCTAACTGTCAATGTTTTGCTTAATGAGGACAGTTCTGTGGTAAAACAATTAATAAGCAAACCACGAAAAAGCGAGATACAATAAAAAAAACTTGCATAGATATAAGTCAACTTATATTTCAATCCCAATGATAGCCCTCACTGTGAATGTAGAACGGGAAGATTATGGGAATTCAAATAAGTTAACCATCGGTCATGATGGCTATTAAGATGAGTTATAGGTTAAGGTAACTACAGTCTAGATACAAATATACCAAAAATTCGTTTTATGCACAATCCACAGACGGATATTTTTCACCTTAACCACCTAAATTTTTTGGCTTCACCCACCACAAAGGAGATAGACATGTTTATGCTGCTGTTGGATGTATTTATGCATGCACATGCATATACATGACAAGTGAACATATATGCTCTGATGTGCATATTAGTGTTGATAGAAATAAACGTTTGACATATCAAGTTGCATAAAAAAGAAAAAAGGTGCAGTTCAACATTTTGAAATTCTATAACTGGATGGGGTGAAAACAAATGGTGGGAGGATATCCTGCGTTTCACCAACAGTATACACAGAGATGGAGGGAATATTAGGGTTTTCCATCAGTATCTCATGTTTGTGGGAATTAAGTTTTAGAAATGGATCTGGAACTAAACAAACAAATACTGTTGCTGAATTGACTTGGGTCTAAATAACCATGAAGTAGAAGCCCCTGAAAATATCTAAAAGAGTTGCAGCGTAGCTTTCTGATGTAGTTGCTCATTTAGGTACTAATGTCATCACTATAAATCCACCATAAGATATCTAGTCCACAGAGATGGAGGATGGAAAGAAGGTTGCTCTCACTATTTACATGGAAAAGGCAATTGAGATATGAGAAGTGCACAAGACTAGATGGCAGATTGTGGTGAAATGAGGTTCTGGGGCAATGGGAATTAACTCTTTCTAATCTACTTTCCCATCAGGACCTGTGAAAATTTCTAGACTTCCTTTAAAGACAAACCAGGTACGTTTAATGTCAACTCCAAGGATCTTCCACATTTTGCAATACATGAAACATAGGCCTCCCAAGTACTTAGAATTCTCCCATCGAATTATCTAAAGGCCCGTCTGGTTTGACCATAATGATTTTGAGGGATTTGGGTTTCGTGGAAGGATTTGGAATGGAATTCAAATATTAGGATCATACATATTATGCTTCGCTTCAGGAGAATTGAAAAGACGACACGTGGAGGCGATGGAGAGATTAGGGCAGATTTGAGGAAAGAGGTGGGGTAGATACGCGATGGAAACAATTGAAATCCATGGGATTTGGATTTGAAATGACAGGCATCTCCAAGGTATTTTTAAACCCGTTGGTTGCGGGATTTCAAATCCAAACTTCCTTTAACCAAACAATGGATTTGAATGGAATTCAGTTCTAAATCTCTCCAAATCCTACAAAAACTCGCAAACCAAACGGACCCTCACAGTATTTTGACAAATTTAATAGGGAGGTGAATCGTGATTACATGAGTAATGCAAAGCCACAATCCATAGATTCTGTAGAACAAGAATACATACAGCAGCAGCATTGGAGCATCCTCCTAGGAGTAGAACTTTACGCCCACAAAGACAATGTTTCCATTCAGAAAATCGAAAGCATCCTATGGCTACTCATCAGGATTAACTACCCTTCCTCACTTGTAGCATTCCTGATTCTCGAGCATATTCTACTTTCATCTTATTCTTATGTGCCATGATATATGTGGAGTGATGTGTGTGTATGAAATGTTATATGGGATGCTTAGATAGTCCATGTCATTGGTGTTCAGATGTTGGAGAAAGCATGTCTTTGTGGAAATCATGCCTAGATGCATATTGTGGCCCAAGGCACAAATTTTGTACCTCCTTGGTTGAGCCCAATCAGCTCCAGTGAGGCTCACCTGGCCCTAAGAAGAGCCAAATGTACAGGGTAACTGAAGCCAGTCACAAATCAGTTTTTGAGTCTATTTTTATTGAATCAAATAGGTGCATTACCGGAATGAGGAAGGGAGAAGAATTTGCTAGGTATTGGTTTCAATCTAGATATACGTCACTAGATCGAACAACTATAATGAAACTAACTCATAATCTACAATTATGCAAAACAAAAGCGCTGATATGATCATGATCTCACAGCATACATTGTGTATATATAAGATTACTCCCCTGCAGAACAAAGATCAAACTAAAGAAATTACCGAAGTTTTTTCCAACGATACAATGCCAAGTAGGACCATGCTTCTTATCGAATTCTTTCTTTATCTGTTCCGCCACATCCTTTTCGACACTAAGATCCTCAAACGCCTGTGCATGCGTAATCCAGATTCCGATCAGAAAATAACGATTACAGAAAAGTTCAAGCAAAGTGGAGGTATAGAAAACACAATTTGAATTTTAAAGCATTTCGCCAATCAAAATAGAAAGGGGTATAAATTACGGAAATAGCGATATTGACAGCTTCGCTTTGCATTTCTTCCTTCATATCGGCACTCTTGATAATTACTTTCCTGCTGCTGAAACTAGAGGATATCGATGCATTAGTTTTCCGATCATCAGCGGAGGGCAGCGACTTCACCGGCGCCATAACCCCGACCAAAGATCTCTTCCGCTCTTCACTCATCTCGCTTCTGTTGCAATAGCAAACGGGTCAAGTGCCGACACCATCCGATGATCCGTTTGGAAACGTTAACCCTTGTATATAATCTATACTATATTATAATGTATTTGGCTAAAACTCTTAAAAACTCTTGAACTCTTAAACTCTTAAACTCTTAAACCTGTTCATCCCTATCCGATTTCATCCCATAACTGAATTCGTGTAACTAACTGCAGATAAACACAATCCAATACAGGATAAACATCTCATTTTAAATATAAAAAATCTAAAATATAATTAGAATAATCATTGAGTTCTAACAAAATACTTAATTATTATCTTTACAAAATATTATATTATTAAACCAAAAATTAATTATTTCATTATTAAACTTAAATTAAATTAAAAAAATAATTTATACTATATTATAAAGCATTTGACAAAAACTCTTAAAAACTACTTTTTATACGTAAAGTACTGTTTATTAATGCATATTACTTAAAACTCAGGATTACAAGTAGATTGTGCGTA